TCTTAAAAGGTTTCTGTAATAGTGGACTCATGGAAACATCACTGGACATGCTCTATAAACTCAGAGCTTCGGGTTATAAATGCGACCAGACTGCTTATGACAAATTAATCAACGGTTTCTCTATGCAGGGTGATTTGGATACTGCACAGAATCTTTTCGAGGAGATGGCCAGCAATAATTTGGTTCCTAATGCTTCTAATTTTGAGAATATGATTTATGGGTTTTGCAAGATAGGCTCTTTGGATAAAGCATTGGAACTTTTCAATATCATGCTGGAAGGAGGTGTGGTACCCCCAACGTAGTCACTTGCAATTCTATTGTTCATGGCTATTGCAGGGAAGGTCATTTGTACGAAGTTTTGCAACTTATAAACGGAATGAGAGACCAAGGCATTCTTCCTAACAGGTGTATCTATAATGCAGTTATTAGCAGGCTGTGCAAAGAAAAAAAACCAGAAAAAGCATGGGAGCTTATCCCGGTAATGCTTAAGAGTAATCTTTTGCCTGAAGCTGTAATTTACAGCACCATTATAGATGGATTTGGTAAACAGTTAAATTCAAAAAAAGGCCTTCATGTTGTATTCAAGAATGTTAAGAGTTGGGGTTACTCCTGATCTAATTACATATACAATTCTCATCAATATATTGTGCAATGAAGGTAGAATATATGAAGCCTGTAATTTATTTGAGGAAATGATTTGGAATGGCCTGAATCCAGATAAGATTTCTTACACATCAATTATAGCTACATTTTGTAAAATTGGAGATATGAAGAAGGCTTGGGGATTGTTCAGTGAAATGTTGCAAACAGGCCACTTGCCTAGTGTTGTTACTTACACTTGTCTAATCGATGGATTTTGCAAGGCAAATTGGATGGACATTGCTCACTTGTTGGCAGATGAACTGAGACGAAAGAAAGTCTCTCCTGATGTTTTCTCTTACAATGTTCTCATTGCTGGGTATCGTAGACTTGGAAATCTTGATAGAGCTCATGAGTTGTTCAAAGAAACGAGGAAGGAGGGTATTTTTCCAAATGATTATACTTTTAACATTCTAGAATTGGATGCTGCCTCAGTTAAGGAAAATTAAGAAGCAGAGAAAATGATTCGACGAAGACCAGATGGTATATGCTCAGACATATTATGTTAATTACCTCTAATATCTCCATTTGTATATGCTATGACAATTTTTTGAAGTTCTTGCTTTTCTGAGCATTTTTATCTCTTGAGGTTTTCTTCTTTTCTTGATGTGTGTGAGAATGCAACTCTTTCATTTGCATAACAACAACATGCTAATATGTAATATACTTTTGTTTTCAAAATTGATAGAAACATGTGATACTGTCTCAATGGGACTTGACACACATTAATTCGGCATCTGCTATATAATTATCAGCTCTTCTTTGAAGATGATATTGTTATAGTGTTTGTTTGGTGGCCATGAAACAAAAATATTTTACCTTTGGGCTGCTTAGGAGATCTCTCAATATGGTTTTCTGAATTTTTTATGAAGTTCCCGATTACAAGATGTGCGGACTCAATTCCGCAATAAAGAGTGAGTGTGTTTCGTGGACGAACTGCCATGCTCCTGGAGATGAGGGCCTGCACAATAACGAATGGTGAGGCTGCCCGACTGCAGTTTGATCGGAAACCACTCCGATGGTGAAGTCAGGCTAGAGAGAGAATAAGGAAGACGAGTGTATAGAGAGAGAGAGTCATGGAAATCGGATGCTTGATAAAGGAAGTGAGGTTACCTTTTATAGGGAAGGCTTGACTTGCTCATCAAGTTCCTTTCTCTGCCACCTGGCATTCAGTCGTTATGCTAGGTCGCTCCTTATTGGAGAAGGGCAACAAGTCTGCCATTCGCTTGAGTGAACCGTTCCATGATTTGCAAGGGGTCATGTGCTCTTCACTCACATAGCATTGAGTGATCTGTTAGAGCTCAACTCAGCTTAACTCACTTCAGAGTGAGTAGGAGTCTTGGAGTCATGGTCATGGACTTACCCACTTCGGAGTGGGGATTGGGACTAGGGCTAGGCCCATGACTTTGACTACTTCGGAGTGGGGAAGGATGCTAGGACCAACCCTCTAGCTTGGCTCACTTTAGAGTGGGGAAGGATGCTAGGGCTGAACACCTAGCTCGGTCCATTTCGTACTGGGCTTTCTCCTTGTTAAGCTAGGCCTTTGCACAAATGGGCTTGAGTAATTGTGCCCCCTTCACATGCTATGCTTTCATGAGAAGTATGTAATGAACTTATACTATGAGGTACGATATTTCACAAATAATTTATTAATTTTATAGATATTTATTAAAGACTAGAAAATTCTCTATCATCTCATCGTGTTTCTGCTTGCTGAGGTTATTAGGTACAATTTGTTTTTAATGGGAAGAATTACCCAGATTCAACTTATCAAAAAGATTACCCAGATTCATTTCTTCTTTGGTACTTAAAGAATTTCCATGTTATTGCAACTTCCACCAGAGAAAGTTGTCTTTCAAAGTAATTCCCACTTTTTATTCAGTACCGTCCCAATTTTATTGCTTCTTGCTAAATTTTTAAGTACAAATGCCATTTTGAATGGAAAGAGATATCTAAATTCATGCAAGACAGCTTCCGTTATGTCTATTTGTGAACTTTTCTATGATCACATACAGTCTTGATCTACTAGTATGGGATAATTAAGTGTTTACATGTATACATGTCAAGCTGAAACACAAAACTCTTTTCTTTTTTCTTTTTTATCTGCAGTTGTGGTTTTTCCATGGAATGCAGAGGTAATGGACCTTGTGTAGCTGACCTGTACGGACTGCAGACATATCTTCAGTTTGCAAATGCAATCTAGTAAGGAATGGTGATTGAGCTTATGTCTGTTAATTTTGCTGTCTGAAGTAAATGAAGAAAATGAATTGGTGCCCTTCTTTACTTGCTTACAAATGACAATTTATTTTATTGTTGAGTTAGAACACAACGGCTATACAAAAGTGAATCTTTATTTAGATGCAAAGATACACTCAATTATACAAGAAGACTCTCAAGGACACCTCACTTTTGGAATCACTCACACTCAAGCACTTGACACCACTCTTGATTGTTGTGTCTTGTACCTTCCAAATGAGGTCACTTTCCTTTATATAGTCATCCACCTCCTCAATGGATGGCTAGAATCATTTTGATCCAAGGGCTATTATTAACCCTGTAGAATATTCTAGCATATACTCATACTTTCCAATATTCTAGAACTCTCTAAACTATTCTAGTATATAATAGTACTTTCTATACTTCTAAAATATTCTAGAACCTTCCAGAACCTTCTAGATTTCTACAAGCTTCTCTAATGTTCCGGTATCTTCTACAATGTTCTAGAATCTTTTGGATTTCTCTAGGTCTTTCTAGAATCTTCTAGATCTTTCTGGAATATTCTAGATTCATGTGAAAACTTCTAGAATATTTTAGAGAGAAGATTCTAGAGAGTGAGGAGAGTTAGTGATGACTCTCAACATTTATTTGATAAATATACACTAAGCACTGCTAGTGTGTGTGCTTTCTTTTTCTAACTTCTAAGAAGACTCGCTGTAGAATCTTTCACAAGCTAAACCATTGTCTGCTTGGGCGACAAAAGGAGGCCTATTAAATGCATTGCCAACAAAAGAAAATCCATATACTAGAGGCCTGGCTTGTAAATTATGAGATCTATGCAGAAAATACATTTGAAACTAAACTAGACATGTACTTCACTTGATTCGAAGGTTGATTATGTGAGGTTTGCCCCATATTATCTAGCATTTGCCAAATCAAGGCTTGTTTATGCCATTTATACACCTTTCAAGGGTGCTCCATCTGATCTCCTTTATGGTGTGCCGGATTCTAATTTACTTCGAGTGTGCTGTATGAGGTGAGGAACAAGCGTATGGCGTGTTTCCCTCTACCTTATAGCTAAAGAATACAGATGTGGTCAACACCTTCAAACATCATCTGAATGGCTTGTTGGAGTACTTAAATCTGAATGGCTTGTAGGAGTACTTAAATCTGAATGACCTCAGATGAGGAAATAATTTCATTTCTAATCAGTATTGCATGTGGAAGGAGGATACAGGATTTATTGATTAGCTAATCATCCATTTGTATGTCCTGTTTATAAGCTGAGTTGGGCTATGGTGAAACCACTGAATGGGGTGGTATAGATCAATGGGTTGCCTTCGCTGGTTGGTTCGAGTACAACGAGCA